GCTCTCATGGAATGGCTACACTTCCATTATCTCGCATCCCAAAATGTCTGCAGACATATAGTGTTACGACTGAAGTGCTAAAGTGTACTTCTTTAAGTGTGTTAAGTTCACACACATTTCCTGAAGAGGAGGCTGAAGGTTACGGCGGTGTTTCCCCTTCAGTTTCATTCTTATCAAACAGGAAGGGGAAGGAACATGTAACTGGATCATGACGACTAGCGCTTCAACTGATTTTCATTATCAGTTCAATGTACAATTACTTGATTGATTACTCTGTCAAATGTCAGACAATGCTAAGCAGCAACATATTACTTTTGAGAAGCTGAAAAACGTTAAAGTTTGGCATTTTTGCTTGAATTGTGTTAGGGTCAATTAAAATGTCCACTTTTGTAACAGGAAGTCTTCATTTTTGTTCTCTGGATACCCACAATCATCAAAAAGACCTCATTTCAGGTGTCTGAGCTTGCACAATGCGTACATACACACATACATACAGTGTGTGATAGAGATGAAACTGACCTATTGTTCAACACTGTTCACCTGAGGCAGACAAACCAAACCAGAATCAACTGTATTACAGACAGCAGAACTCTGATATCTGCTCAATGATAAAAGCTTTAATTCAACAGGAGAGTAGATTCCTCTCGTACACACCACACCCCAATCAGGTTGATCCTGCTACACAATCAGCCAATCACACACACACACACACACACACAGACACACACACACACAAATCGACAGACAACCAATCAAAGCGCCTGCTCCTTTAATTCTCTACAAACAGAGCATTGTCTATTGTTGTTAGGGAGCGGGCTTTTTAGTCGACCTTCCTCAAACATTTTCACTTCATTCTTTTAACTGTTGTTTTGGAACAGCGAGGCAGGCAGAGTAGAGATGATGGTGAATGCATTGTTTGATCCATTTGTCCATCTGAGAAAATGTCACTGACAGCTCGTCCTGAGCCAACCCGGGCCATCTGAAGCGGCTCCGCCTGCCTGCTGCCAGCCAGTCACACAGAAAGCATGTGAAAGTGGGCGACAAAAGAACAAACTAACATTGTGTCCAGCTGCCCACCTTGGCAGTAATAGAAAAAAATCTGTGTGTGAATGTGTTGTGTTGCAAGTCTGGGCACTAGTGGGGTGTGTCAGGGAAGCTGGCTACAAACAACTTCAGGCTGCTTACTGTGTGATGAGGTCCAACAAAGCTGCAATTATTAAGCATCGGAGTAGAAAAAAGGAGATTTCTTGTGTGACAGAGACAAATATCGGTGTGTTTAAAGAAAAAATAAGCTCTGACAGGCTGTGTAAAAATCAGGAAAATGACTGCGAGTTACATCAAATGATGCCGTCTACCTCCGTATCTTTCCATCGGTTCCAGCTGTTAACTGTAAAGTCTGTTCAGATGTGTGCTCGTGTCACAGTCCAGCCTCAATCCCTTCTGTGCAAACAGAATGACGGACTGAGTCGGCTGTCAGCATAGGAAAATGAAGACCGATAACCATCACTGAGTGACCACAACTGATTCTGCCACTGTAACCTGCTGATTTGTGAGTGTAAATGTTCCACATTTGCTGCCACACTCCTGATACGAGCTAAGGGAAGGGAATACGAAAAAAATCTTTTGTTTCTGGTGGCACGTCTGTTTCTGCAAATAGCCAAATTGCTCTGATTTGCATGCCTGCACTTACACATTTGCATGAGTTACATTTTTTAGAATCTAGTGATTTATCTTTTTTGTGAATGAACAGAACGCAGCTGCATCGGATGAGAAAGGTGGGACGTGTTCTAATTAATCTGATTTCAAACGTCACCAGCGTTGCCAACTGCTCTGGGCCCTTTGGCTTGTGTACTTTACTGCTTTCCTTGTTAGCTCATCCTCCCACCTCGCTGTACTTTCGCCCTGCCTCATGACAGGAGAAATATGTGCAACCTAACTGTCGCTGAGAAGCTGGATTTGCATGCACCGCCTGCCACACTGCCCAGAGTTACAATAAAACCTCTGGTAGCGTCACTGCGTACTTCGACATGTTTCAGCGTGTGGTGGATCCGAGAGCAGTGAGAAAGACTTAATAACATGTTTGTCAGGCGAGGAGCGTCGCCTGTAACAAAGTGCAGTTAGCTGGACCCAGCTGGGCGCAGTCCAGGTACTCTGGGGTGTTGAGAAATTTTGCTCAAAATACTAAATGGACAACAGGAAACACACTGCAAAGACAAACCTCTGCTTCAGCCAAAGAAACACAGATTCACTCAGTACAACTCTGGGAAACTTTGAATTTTATTCAAATAGAGCGAACAAAGTAAAATCCTGACTGCTGCCAAATGTCTTATTTTAAGCATTGTCATCCATCTTTCCACCTGTATTTGTCTTTTTTTGTGTGTTTACTGAACAGATAAAGACAGATGAGAGTGCACTGAACTGTTAACACAAGCAGATAGAGTCCTAATCCTCGAGGTGTCCTCATGGCTCCACTAGGTGCAAACTAAACATCTCCAGTGTTCTGGGTTCAAATGTAAACGGAGGCCAACTGTCACATGTCAAAACCAAAAGATCCTGAGCATTGCTGTCTTTTTCCCCTCTTGTATTACTCAACTGAATAAATGTGCAGAAGTCAGCATGACGGAAAACTCTGCCTCCGACAAAACACTCCTGTTTTTGACCTCTCACTCGTCACACACACACACAACAAGGACAAACCCATTCCCACACTCATTAAATCCACTTCTCTCTTCATATTCCTGCGGGAGGCATTTGCTCACTTTTGCGCAATAACTGGCACAGTGAGCGTGAATACACCGCAGGAATTTGCCCTTGGTTCCCCCGCCTCACCGGGGCCGGCACAGCTCGAGCTTGGCAGGGGAGCATGTCCCCAACCTGCACTGCTCCCAATCAACCAAACACCTATCAGCCTCTGCTGATGAGTGAAGAGGAATGGAACTCAGCCCAGGTTTTACACAACAAGCCTCGCTCTTTAATGATTGGTCGGGTAGTTCTTCTGTTTGAAGGAACTTTGACCTCTGTGATCTCTACACAAATATGCAGAGAGTCCCCACAGCAGTGAAGGACCGGGCCCTCCAGGTCTGATGCTAATCAACAGCAGGAATGTCTCACGTTGACAGCTATAATGCTGAGTGGCCTAATAAAAATGCACCATTCAATGCTCGGCATGCTGTCACACCACCACAAAGTATGCCAGTCATCTGGCTAGTTAGTGAATAAGATAGGGTGCGTAGTCTGGTTAGCACTGCACACCCTCTCAATCATTCCACACTGTTAGGCAATGGCTGTTCACCTTCATCATACTGCCTCTGCTCTGCCTTATGAGGATTCAGAGGGTCGGAAAGAGTCCCCATGCTGAATCTGTGTGACACATTTGTTCTAGCAGGCATAATCGTTGAGCATAGTGAACGCCTAAAGAGGGAACACTGGGTAAAAACAACAAGGTCACCTTCTAGTGAATATTAGTGGATGGCTTTCATTGCCATCCTAAAGGGGAAATTGCACACAGGTAGCCAAAGTATTACAAGAAGCAACATTAGCACTGATTGGAGCGCTTAGAGGATGAGGAAGTGAGGATGGAGAGCTGATGAAGATGAAGAGTGCTTGTTTTAAATAAATAAAAAAGGTCCAATGCTGCGTAAATGTTAATGACTGCTGATGGGTTAGGGGGGATGACGAGTAGCACGATTGTTATTCCGATGCTGAACGGTGGCGATGACTGGCGTAGTCAAAGAACGCGCGGGGGGGGGTTATTTGGTGTCTAAATATTTATGTAGAATATTACAGTAGCTAAAAATCTGCAGCAGAGTAAGTGGGCGTTGAGTTGTGTGCAGTAAAAGGAGTGTGGATACAGAAAGGTGCTCTGGGAATAACAGGAGCATAGGTGTGACTGTCACACCAGAGACAACAATACTCAGCAAATACAGCAGGTGTGCTCAGCTTAGCACTGCTCATGACAGCGGCCTCGTTTAATCTGAACACCTAGGTGCTGCACATGTGGTTTTGGTGTGTGACTTCACAGGACCTGTCAGACCAGCAGTGTGTGTCCCTGGATGTACAAACCAGTCAGTAAATGTGTTATATGGTTTTATCTCGCTGTACTGTTTCAGATTTCTGGCTGCTTTAAAGGGGAAAAAAAGAAAAATGGCTGTAAATCTTCAAATACTCTGAAGAAAAGTTGCCAACCATGTGAGGAATTCCACCAGAAGGCCATTAGTTAGAATGAAAATCCAACCTGCCAAGAGTTGAGTGTGGCAATACAAAAAACTAAAAACCCCTGACTGCTGGTTTTCAATACAAACAGGATTAAATGCGGATATAATGAATCACAGCAGCTTTACAGTTAAATGCTGTGTGTATCGGCCTGGAGCACCGCGGTATCGGCCCGCTCTTCCTGTACACAGCAGTCTTATCGGCCTCCAGGCAGCCAGGTCAGCTGGGACAGGACTGCTCGATAAGGCGCTAAAGCCTCCAGAAAAAAACACCCTTCACTCGCTATTTTAAGCCCCGAATGTCAAACAATCACAATTCGGATTTTTCTGCAACAATGTGGCGCCCTGTTTCCGCTCGGGGAGGGAAAAAAGTACCGGGAAAAAAAGCTATAAAAAAATTCACCCTTGAAGGAGTGAAAGCAGCAGCTAATGCTGGACACACAGCCGGATACTTTAACATTTACAGAGGGAAGAGGGGCAGGAGGAAGAGGAGGAGGAGGAGGAGAAAGCAGCATTTAATCAGAGGGGAATGAAACAGCTTGACATTGAGGAGAGCCTCGGGACGGGCGAAGAGGAGAGACAGGCTGGGAGGAAGAAAATGGTTGGTATAAAGTGGGGCACTGGGAGCAGCTGCGGGCTTTATGGAGCCAAACCGAGGCCCGCACTCGGTCCCTGACCTCCACTCCCCATCCCATCCCTCCCCTGCCATTTTCTTTCTGCCCGCCGCCTCCTCCTCCTCTCAGCCCCGGCTCGACTCGGCCCAGCTGGGCCCGACTTTGGTTCCCTTACCTTCCTCTGCTGTTTCTCCCAGGCCGGGTCCAGCAGAAGGTCCCGGTCCCAATCATTCTCTTGCTCCATGTATGTCTGAACCCCGCCTGCCGAGGATTGGTTATTGGCAGCGTGATAATCTACCATGTCAGCCGAACGAAACCTGAGTGCGCCACAGAGAGACTGCCAGGAGTCGGGGAAACGTAGAAAAACACAAAATAAAGAATTGGGGTAAAAAAAAAGCAACGACGGCCAAAAATCAGAAAAGGTGGGACGTGGAGGGATACACGACCCAGGGAAGAGTCCTTCTTCTCTCGCCGCTTTCAGCACTGAGTGTGTGTTTTTTTAATGTGATGAATATCCGGCGTGTGCAGTCACACAATCCCCGCTGCTGCTGCGAGAAGAAAAGCTTTCCCTGTGAGCTGAGGGGCTGCTGGGAGGAACCGGCCGCTCCTACAGGCTGCAGCAAGCTGCACGCAGCGAGCCGCGGCGGTTCCGGTGGGCCCTTTCAGAGTAAAGCGTTGTGCTGCTGGTGCGTGGTTTCACTTTATTGGCCGCAAAACTACAAACCTGCATAAATACCAGTTAAAGTCTTTTTCTGACTGTTTGTTTCGTCAGTTTATACCGAGTTTATGACGCAGGGTGTCTTTTTTGTCTTTCTCTCTTACAAAAATGTTTTTTAAATAATAACACAAACATAAGCAAACAAATTACTTAATTACTTACTATGTTCAGTAGTCTATGTTCTGCTTTGGTATGCAGAATAGCTCAAATATAACTTTACACCAACCATTAAAAGACAGGCCCTTATCACTTGTAGACTGTAATAATATACAGAATATACACATATAGGCCTATATATTTTTTATAGGAGCAAAAGTACGAATGTTATATAACCTTTTAGCTACAGTAGTTATATCCCTACTTGGGAGGCCTAATATCAAATACACTGGATCCATTTATAGATTTAACTGTTTCTATTAACAGAAACCTTAAAAACAAAAATAAGAAATATATTTAATCAATTTGTAACTTCTCCCTCGAAGTTATGATATTTTGTTTTGAAAGCGCCGTCGCTTCCTGTGCTGTGTGAATGTGTGTGTGGTGTGTGTGGACTGACACACCTGCTCTATACGCCCAGACAGCTCATTAATATATTAATATTCATCACATTTGAACGTGAGCTGCTAAAATAAGGAAACATTATAAATGTAAAATAAAACGATGGAGCAGTGTGTGTGTGTGTGTGTGTGTGTGTGTTCCTCTACTGTTAACATTATGTTTAACCAATCAGCAAACCAAACTTCTGTTACAGATATAATTATTCTTTAACTTCGAGGGCAAGTACAAACAGGCACATTTATAAAGTTTCATATTCTACTGATTTAAGACATTTTATTTTGTAGGCAAACTGATATTTGCCTTAAAGGGCCAGACCACCTACAATTCATTTGTACAAACTCATTACACTTCACAGCATTCTGCAGACCATGCTGCTGTGTTACACACATTTATCTAATTTCTTGCTCCTGGCAGCCATTGTTTTCCATTAATTTGTGTACACAGTGGAAATGGAGTAAATTAAATAGTTTTTTTATTCTGTTAAATTTCATTGTGGCATGATGTGATAATACTGAAGATCATTGAAATCGATCTCCGTTGAAGCTTCAGTACAATGAAGGTAATGTAACTTAACTTCACAGAGTTTGTGTTTACACAACTTGAGCAAGATTCATTCGTTTTTTAATTTATTGTATGAAAATAACCTGTTTAAATTAAATTAAATTAAATTAAATGAATTAAACACCCCCAACAGTGGCCTGTTAATCTAAATCTAAATATGTATAGCATGCATTTGAAAATGCTCAACTAGTGCAAGTGTGAACATAATTTAAAGTAAGGAGCTAAAACACCAGCGTTGTCCTTTAAGATGCAGAGACAGTATGTTGTGTATTCTAGTTAATTTGAAGTAAAAAAAAAATGATGATAATAATGAAAAAATACTGAGCTCCAAGTCAGATTATTCAGTGGACGACTGCTCATTTCTGAACTGTTGTTGATAACAGAATAACATCTGCTTCATATCAGGTAAATGTGGTTAAATATGTTAATATTCATAAGTAATCAAAAACATTTAACAATAAATGCTCAATAACAATGCACTATACATATATAAAATATTACATGTAGTTTTCTTTTCTTTTTTAAAATAAATAAATCCCATCACTTTTACTTACTTTATTAATATTAACCTCATATCAGTCAAAACATTAGTGTCACCTCACATATCAATTAAACTGCTAATTGATCTTTAATTTGTTTACATAAATTCATCAGATAAGTTCAGAGAGGAGAAGAACAGTAACCATCGTGTGAGACGACACATGTCCAGTGAAAGAAGAGGAAGAGATCCAAGTGAACATTTCTCGCCAGAGTTAAAGAAGCCAGAAGGAAACATGGTTTCTCTTATTGAGGTGGACAAACGCCCAGAAACAGACACATTTTAGATATAAGTACAAATATGGTTTAATCGGATGTTTAATTCAGATTCAATGTCCTTGATTATTCTCCACTTTTAAATCTTTGATATGTATGACGTCAAACAATCTCCAGTGTCTCGGCCTCCTCTCATAATGAAAAAATGAACTGAGAAGGGGAAATGAATCTTTGGTAGTTGATTCATGTCCGGCCTGTGACCATCAAAGGGTTCATGATGTAATTCGTTTGAGAACCACTGACCCAGAGCTCTGACACTCATAAAACACAAAGGCCTGAGTTGCGGTTTGATCCATTACATCTGCCGAGTGAGGTGCAGGCCGGTGTGGAGGGTGACTGTCCTGCCTGCAGGAGCCACCTACAGAAGTAGGTCATGCTCAGGCTGTCCTGGTCGATTAGCGTCACTGCGGCAGGGAGCAGCATGCAGACCGAAGCAGGACCATGCCTCAGCTTTGATGTTGTCATGTGATGCCATATAGTGCGGCTCTGCTACTAACAGCTCTGTGATTGGCCACAACAGGCCTGAGTCATAATTACAGTCTGAGTCTGGGCTCATATGAATGGACTGTTTATGTTTTTTAAAGAGGGGCTGAACAAAGAGAAGTTGAGTCCTGAATATAGCTGGGGACTTTTACACAGGGGGTGAATGCTGAGGCACAAAAACTCAATCACTGTTTGGTATGTGAGCAATACATTCTCATAGTTTGTATACAAACAACATTTTTATGTAATTTTATAAAAAGTGACAACGATATTTTCAGTTGTTAAAGACTTAAAAGCAGGGCTCTCAAACTGCTGGCTGCGGGCTATTTCTGGTCCTCCATCTCCCTCCCTCTGGCCCATGACGTGATGTCAAAAAGATATGGCCCACAGGATTGGTTTTTTTAAAATAATATTGTCTTGTTGGCGCTACACAAATAAAATTTAATTTAATTGAAGTGGCCCTCCTATAAGAGGACAATACCAACAGTGTCCCCAAGCCGATTTGAGCTTCAGACCCCTGACTTAAATTAGTTTGAAAATCAGGGTCAGTTTTTGGAAACACTTTTCATTGACTAACTACTACTCAACTACTCTCTACCAAAGAAATAGTCCCATTGAAAGATGTCTACAGTGAGTTCTGTTGATATTATCAGGTGTAACAAGGACACTATATCTGGAGAAAAAAAAGGTGCTTCTTGTAAAATATTTCTATTTTATTTTAAGTCAGGAGGGTTACAAATTAAATTAAAATCTCCTCCACTGATCTGAGGGTAGCAGTAGATATTCAGAGACAGATATCTCAAACCTGGGCAAATAAAAACAAAAGATATCTGCGTGGACACATACCAGTTGAGGCAAAATATGTTGGGTTTTTTATTTCATGTGATTTTTGGGTGAACTTACCCTTTATGTTCAGGTTCTGGTCTGGATTTGTAAAAAAAAATGTTAAGACGCTAACCTAACCTAGCGCACGCAGTCCGTAATATCTGGACCATATAGTGAGGATGCTTTTATTTTAATATAAATAAGTTAATGTGGAATAACAAAGGAAGGAGAGAGCAAAGAAAACACTAAAAGAGTGTGAGATAAAAGAGAGAGCTACAGGAAGGCAGACAGTGTGTTGGGGTGTGGCTGATGTACGAATATCACATGCCACCCTAAAAGTCAGTTTAAACCAACACAACAGTAGCACAACAGGATATTGAACACACAAACACACACACACACAACCTCTGGTATTTGTATATCTGACTGTTCTCACTTTAAAGAATGATGCTGAAAGACGGATATTTACACATACCAGAAAGAACAGAGGGTCATTTCTCAAAATATCCCCTGTGGCTGGGGTCACTGCTCACACAGACCCTGTAGAACGGTTGCAAAGAAGTCCTAGGCTAGTATAAATAACTGGTTCAGATTGTTTCAGTCATGGCCTGAAAGGAGGAGAAGGAAAAGGCCACATGATGTGGAATTCAGTAAAAGTTCAACAAAACATCTGTGACAGAGTTTCTGAGGTCAGCGGGAGAGATGAGGGAGTCGATCTTATTCATGACACAACCAGATGACTTACATATTTAAACAGAACATAGACGACAGCACATAAATTTTAATCAGCGTTTTACAAATGAATGTGGTACAAAAGTGAAGGGAGCTCACTGGAAGGTTGTTTTCTTATTTTATTTATTATATATATACTTATTTGTGTGTATTTGTAACCTTTATATATCCTGTTGACCATTCTTTGTTCCTAAAATCTCTAATCTTAGCAGAAACACACACAAAAACACATTATTCAATTGTAATAATTATAATATATATATATATATATATATATATATATATATATTAAAAGCTTAGTGTGTAAC